AAGTTATTGCTGAGTGATTCCAAAGAAAAGTGGTATGTCCAGCCCAGATCTTCAAAATCACTCAGCTATCTGGGTGGGCTTTTGCCTCTCCAGGGTCTTCCAGCACAACAAACCCCCCACCGCCTTCCCACTCACATCCTCCAGGCCTCCCAGTGTTGCCATACACACTCAGAGAAGAACTTAGTGTTGAGAGGATATCGAATTTGGGGAAGTCCTCAAGGGATGTGATATCACATCTTCCCATCCTGCAAATAGCTCATGGCCCATAGAGGCCTTGTTAGTTTTGTTGAGAGGTTATATGGCTGTTTCTGACTTTCTTAAAATTATAAGTTGTTCCAGGTACATAAAATCCCAGCAATATAGAGTGGCTAAGCATAGCCAAGGCCCAGGAGCTCATTAATTAGCCTCAGTTGACCCAGCAAATAATCCTGATAGAGTTTTCATTTGGGCTTAAGATAGTACTGCAAAAGGCTATGAGAAACATCGCAAATCCAGATGCTTTGTTGCCCTGGGCTTCCAGTGCTGGAGACAACAAAATTGGTGAATGTGGGTCTATGGATTGAACAAAGTGGTCTGTGGTGTTTGCCCTTCCTTGGTCACGTTACAACTCCAGTTCCTAGTAAGAAGGCTCTGAATGCTGTCCTCTCCTTATTTCTGCCATTTGTCTTGTTGTCATGCTTGCCACTTGGGGAGCAATGGGAGCTGGTGCTGTGACCTTGAGCCCTTTGCAATTTAATGGGGTATATAAAACCATGAGTCACCAGGACCACATGAGCTACAGAAAGTTTCTACTTTGTACCTGTGTCTGGTGTTATATAGCCAAGTCTTTATTACAGTGCTGTACATTCAAGATATTATCCCAAGACAGTAATCCTAGGCACATTGCCGTCTACTTTAGAGGATGCTGTGTTTTAGAAACTTTGAACTACGCGGATAGGTTTTCATTGAGTATTTTTAAATACTTTTAATATTTGAATTCTTTCACCCTTCAGTCAACTCAAATCTGTGAGTGTGCAAGGAAGTGTTCAAGAGGTAGTCTGAGCAGAAAATGGTGTTGAAATCTCTGACAGTGCTGTGTGTAACTCTACCCTACCCTGCTGAAAAAGATTGGGTTTATCTTCCTGTCATTTCTTAGTGATATGAAAGTGGTCACATATTGTTCTCTTTGGCTGTAGACAACCACAAGCAATGCTTACTCTCTTGCCAGTTTAGGGAACATCATGCGACCATGAAAAATTCAAGTGTTTCTATTCCATAGACCATTTGCTAAGGTGTATTATATCTCTGGGCAATTGTAGACAATGTTTCAGTTCCACATTTTTACCAGTGCTGTAAGCAACAAGCCAGAAAAATATCTGGGAGATTCTTTACTATGACTATTTCATTTAATTTTATATTCTTTAGTGTAGCAACTTATCATGTGCTATAAATTTCTGATTGGTGTGTCACATGGCATAAGAAAGTTGTTTTTATTGCATTCGGTAATCTCCAGTGAATAGTGTTATTTGCCCCCAGTTCATTCTGATAATGTTTCTTCTGTCTTCATAATCCTCGCAAGGAGAATGTCATTATACAGTGCCTGGGGAGGCCATCCTGCTGCAAAAGCCTAGTCTCTTGACTCTCTAATCCTTCCTTGTATAGAGTTTTTAGCATCAGACAGTTATGTTTCTGTCAGGGAGGGAGAAATAGTGAAGGTAGCTATTTTACTGAATGTAAAGTGCCCAGCAGAGTAATTAAATCCATGAAATGGCGAGTCTTGATCACCACACACCAGCAGGCCAGGAAGCGGGTGACGGAACTGGTTTGTTTGTGACCAGCAAAGGATGCTATTTCCCCGGTAGCACTTGTGTAGCCTTGTCCTGGTTTATGGGCACCAAGTGCCTAATTTCATTTTAAAGTTGCAAAGCTTTAATGGATGTTCTAAACGTTACCCAAGGAAGCATTTAATATGAAAAAGAGATTTTAGGCCTGGTGGGTGGATGCCTGAAAATGCTGATATCTCTTTAAAGAAATGATTTTTAGTGAATCAGAGTCTACATTCTAGAAAAAGGGGAGAATTCTGCCTAAGGTGCTTCCACATAGTCTTCTTGTCATAGAAAGGGCAACTTTTGGAAGCTTCCAGGTGTCTATTTCCTACTTGTAATTAGATGGTATGTAAATATAAGTCTTGAACAGGTGATGGAAGTTGGTGAAGCAAAGTAAGAAAACAAAATTTCAAAACCTTGCTTTGCAAATAGGGTGATGGGTAGCATTATTGATTTTTTTATACAGTGCTAAAAACTTTATTTGTTTATCTCATTTAATCATTAAAACATTATTGGGTCAGGCACGGTGAGTCAAGCCTGTAATCCCAGAACATTGGGAAGCCGAGGTGACAGGATTGCCTGAGCTCAGGGGTTCAAGACCAGCCTGGGGAATTTGGTGAGGCCTTGTCTCTACGATAAATAAAAAAATAAGCCGAGCATGGCAGTGTGCGCCTGTAGTTCCAGCTACTTGGAAAGGCTGAGGTGGAGGGATCACCTGAGCCCAGCAGGTCAAGGCTGTGGTGACTGTGAGTATGCCACTGCACTTCAGCCTGGGCAATAGAGTGAGACTCCAACTCAAAAAAAAAAAAAAATTATTGATTCTTCATGAATCAAGATCACAAGATGCAGTTGGTGTGAATACCAGGGGCCAACACCATTTATTTGGGCATCAGAGAACTGTAGAATTCTATATGAGGTACTTCCTTCTCCTTCCCTAAAGATATTCTAGAGCTTGAATAGGAAATAATAATATAAATTCATGTTTGTATACCTACACACACATACAAACACACAATAATAAAAGAGAGAAATATAAAAATCAAGGTAGCTTGGAAAGGTGATAGTCAAAACATTTCAGAAATTCTATGATTTGGGAACAAAGGAAAGCTTTAGAAGATGGTTTATGGGAAAACTGTTATGTTGGGGTCAGTTACAGGAATGAAGACAAGCAAAAGATATAAAAATGTTTATGGACGTCTTAATTTTTTTCCCATTTTTATACAAATTTAAAATTCAGAATGGTGCTCTTTTCTTTCATAGTGCACCGTATTTAATCATTTACCAGATATCTCCTTGAAGGAATGGTTTTTAGTGAATCATGTTCAGGCTCATGTCTCCAAAATGAAGCCATTTGGTCATCAACACCAACATTTGACATGAAACTGTTTTGTGAGCACTTGAGAAGTTTTCCGCAAAGACATTTACAATCATTGTCTTGTTTGTGTTTATCTTTCTCGTTTCTCCTCATTTTTGTCATTTTTTTAAATCTCCAATCTCTTTTTTTTACCTCATTAAGCACCCAGAAAGACCTTTCAGGACTGGTGTCAGTCACCATTTGCACACATGGCCTGCTTAGCATACCAATGGGCTGTTTGCACAAAGCACCTTTCCCTATTGAGCATTGTTCTACTGACTTCTTTCCAGCAAATACCTCTCTCCAGAAAGGTGGATATATGTTGGAATGACAGCAGAGTTGGAGCAGAGTTTGCAAGGGTTGGTTTGCAAACTATGCTTCCCCTTGAAGTTCCCTTGCACTTAGAGCCCTGCTCCTTTTATCCACAGTCTGCCGATCCGGCAAGAGCCTCCGATATGTGTGTAAGCATTGCAGGAGGGGAGGAAATGCTGCCTTACTGATCCATTCTCATCAGCACTGCCAAATCCTTGAGACCCGACTCGATGGAGCCATTCCATTCAGGGAATCTTTGTCTCTTGTTTCAAAATTTGGCTTTCAAGGACGTGCAGTGGCAAAGACCCAGGAAGGAGGATTTCTGAATAGTGTGTCCCTGAAATTCTTGGCATAGGAAAAACGATTAAGTGAACATGAGATTCTTAACTTGAACACGAAGAATAAAGCTGGCACTGCTGTACGGTTTTAGTCTGGGAGTCAAAAGCATTGTAAATGGATTTTTATGCTATCATTTTTGCCACCCATGTTCTTTGCCACTGTGTCTGCTTCCCTGCCCCCATCACCTGCTAATGCTCTTTGGAGTTAGTGCTTGTATCTTACATCTCCCACGTGCAGTAAACACTTCCTGTGCAAAGGTGCTTGAAACAACATCTGTCATTACATCAAAAGACAGTGTCGCTACCAAGTGCAGCTGGAAGATTTCTAATAATGAGATGGTTCTAAATGCAGTCCTAATGAAAAGAAATGTGTGTGAAGTCCCTGAACCTTTTGCTAAGAAAACAAAAATATGTACTCACTTTCTTCCCTATAAGTTATTACTATTTAAACATTGTTTTTGCATATATTTATGCAATCATTTTTCTACGGGGAAAGTTGGAGACTGTGTTTGCGTTTCTGGTTGTGAAAAGTACATTTTTGGTGCTGTGCTGGAGAAGCACCATTATGAAGCGTTGCTATGGTGTTGAATTCTGTCTCTTTGAGAGGAAAACCCCTCTGGTGAATGTGGTATTTGTTGACTCTGAACCAGTATGAGAATTTCTGATTGAGAGTCTAGAAGAGTTATAATAAACTCATTATACATTGAGAAAGGTGAAGAGCTGCCCTCCAGAATATGAATCCAAACGTAAAGTGTTCAGTGAACAAGAACAATGCTCAGTAGATTTTCAAATTGATGGAGCTTTCCAATGGAAACTAATTTGTTCCAGCATTGAAGTGAGCATAATTAACAGAGACTTTCTTTCTTAGGCCGATTAACCACCAAAAACCATGCCAACATTGTAACTGTAAGCAGTGAAAACCAATATTTATGAGGGGGATTGTGCAAGAGTTTGTGTGACAGATGGACATTTTATCACTGTTGATGTTTGGAATTCCCTTGAAAAGTAATGCAATATCTTGTTATTTATGAATGAATGAACAAATGATTGTGCTTTGCTGACTGAGTTTTCTTTAAAAAGAGGTGTACTAAATTAATCTTTTTCTCTGTTTAGCCTCTGTTACTTTATATTAGGTAGTCTCATATATTCTGATGCAAAAACTGAAACATCAAAACTGTGATTTTATTACAGATACAGATCCACGTGTTTTAGAAAAACAAGAATTACAGCAGCCAACCTATGTTGCCCTGAGTTACATTAATAGGTAAGACATTTTCAGAATTTATGACAACTTCATATCTGCCACTTCTTTCCTTTTTAAACATATCTTTTTAACAGAATAGAAAAAAGTAATATTTTCAGTCTTAAAATGTTTGGCATGAAATTATTGAAAAGAAACCTCTATAAGGAATTTTTTTGTTTCTTTGCTGGGGAATTGGGGAATTGTAGTTCTCTGTGCATATGTTGCAAACGTGACTGATTTATAAGCTCATTCTGGAAGTATTTTGTATGCAGAGTTAGAATATGCTCTTCTGACTTCATAGGGCAGTTTGGGAGATTAATGTATTTATATTTGAGTGAAGCTTTTAAATCCTGGGGTGAAGAGGTACTTTATGAATTCAAAACAATGTTGGAATATCAGAATATGTCAGAATATAACAAATTGAAATAATTTAATATCAGAAAGTTATTTAGTAGCAGCTCATCTTTTAGTAAAAACATTCTCAGCAACTGACCCCATCTGTGTGGAGTAACATGAGTTTTTACTTAAACTGAACATGTGAACCCAACTTTAGAGAACCACTTCAAACTTGATATATCAGTTCTAAAAGAGGACTTAGTATTTCAGCCAACTCAAATAATTAAGGAGACAGTAAGTAATATTCGGAGAGAAACTGAAATCAACTTAGGTTAAGAAACACACAATCCCAAAGCAAAAAAGACAAAGTAGAACCAAAACTAGTTTTTAATGAGAATGAGAAACTCTGCTTATAATTCAGAGAATGAATTTTTATTGACAGTCCTTTTTACAGAAGGCGAAAAGTATTTCCTGCCTCTTGGTATAAAAGCTGAGGTTTGGGGTCTGAAGTGGAAAGCTGGGAATGAATTATCTGTACTGTTTTATTTGAGTGCCTTTTTAGAAACGTGTTTAATTCTTGCACAGATAGTGCTGTGAATTGGAGTCCTCTGTGTCCAGTTTCAGGTCCTTCTGTGAAACACATTTTTAAAAAGATTCATTAGCATAGACATCTATGTGTACGTCTCCCTTAGATTTTCTACTTATCAGCCTTTCCAAAAAGTGAGATAGACTAACAGTTGGCCGGGCTCGGTGGCTCAGCTTGTAGTCTTAGCACTTTGGGAGGCCTAGGCAAGTGAATTGCCTGAGCCTGAGGTTCAAGACCAGCCTAAGGCAACTTGGCAAGACCTAGTCTCTACAATAAATAAACAATTAGCCAGGCATGGCAGCGCATGCCTGTAGTTACGCTCCTTGGAAGGCTGAGGCGGAAGGAAAGCTGGAGCCCAGCATTTCGATACGGGGGTGGCCGTGAGTGTGCCACTGAACTCCAGCCTGGGCAACAGACTGAGACGCCAACTCAAAAAAAAAAAAAGAATATCTAACAGTTTTCCATTACCTACAATGTTTGACTGTGTTAAATAGAACACCTTTAAAGACACATCAGATACAAACAAAGATTTATACGCTTTCTGAATTTCTCACAGAACCAGTATTGTGTTTTATAATTAGCAAGGGTTTTGAAGATCTTTATTGCACATTGTAGTTACATGCATTAATATATATTAATTAGCTTACTAATATTGGAGAATAGGATGAATAGGCATATAGATTAATTGTGAGATTGAATAGGACTTTTAATAGTGTGGCTATTGGGCTTTGGGCAATATATATATACATACATATGTACATATATACACATATACATATATATACTATTTATACATGTGTACAAATTTGTGTAATACTAAGCCTTTTTCTAATATGAGTCTATGACATTTTCACATTTTCTTTATATTTGTTTTGTCAGCCATGTGGGGCAGCAGGTATCTACTAATTATATAGGTGTTATGCTCACTAAACTAATAAATATTCTGCCAGACATGATCTGGAACTACAAAAGGAGTCAAAGAATAGCGCCAAGGCCCACATACCAAAAAAACCACCAGAGAACTTGAATCAAGTATCATAGTTTAGAATAAATTGTGCTGCAGTAGGATGTGCTGGAATTTTAGAGAGTCAGAGTATGATCAGTGGGTGTGAAATTTCTTGGATAAGTCATCTGGGAGAAAGTGAGTCATTTTAAAAATAACTTTTATTATTACAGCCGTAGATAAGCATTATAGACCATTAGAAAATATAGTCAGGCAAAAATGTAAAATAAATTAAAACATCACATTCCCACCACCCAGGTATCACTAAATACTTTAACCCATATTTTTTCAGATCATTTTCTAAAAATGCATGTTTATAGGTAGACACAAAACAACTCAGAATTTATTAATAATTGGGTATATTCTTACATGTTTAAACTTCAGTCAGCTTCAAAGTATTTTTCATTTGATGCAATATACCTATGGAGGCACTGTTTCCACTGCTCAAAACAGTTTTTGAATTTGACAATTTTGATGCCTTTAAGTATTTCTGCCGTTTTTGGTTTCACTCCTTTCACATGGGCAAAACGTTTCCCCTTGAGGACTTTTTTTATCCTGGGAAACAAAAAATAAAAATGTTGCTTGGGGTGAAATCAGGTGAACAGGAAGGGTAGGGCATGGGAGTCATGCCATTTTTGTTCAGAAACTGCTGAACACACAGCTCATTGTGGGCAGGTGAGCTCGTAAGTTACCCATCATGAAATGGGCAAATGCACTGAAGAACCTCCAAAAAAATTTTTCACTGAAGTTGAATGCAACCTCTTCCAACAATGCTAGCTGGTACAATGCCAGTGGGTTCCTAGAAGACTTACCTAGCGGGAGAAGCCTGTACTGCAAGGGGCCCACCCTCCAAAATATAATTCTGGGTTTTTTGGGTTCCCCCCTTGTATATGATTTTTAACCAAGAGCTATACATGCTGTTTTGTCATCTATTCTCTTTTGTCATTCATCTCTGCTTTTCCATTTCAGTACATTTGAATCTTACATAATACCCAATCATATCCAGATTTCCCCAGATGATCCAAACATGTCCTTTTTTGTCTAGTCTAATGTCCAATTTGGGCCATCACAGTGCACTGGATGTTTTGTCCCTCAAGTCTCTTTTAATCTGGGACAGTTCCTGTTATTGACAACGACTTGTTGAAGAAATGGGTCAGTTGTCCCACAGAATGTTCTCACCTTCTGGATTTTTCTCTTGGTTGTCTCTTCAAGATGTCATTTGGAGGATTGCTTTTTCTCCTATATTTACTATAAACTGGAATTTAGAACTGGAAAAGCTGGCTTTTAACCTGAATGCCTCATTATATTTAGAAACCTGAGAAATAGGAAATTTGACAGATGAAATCCTGACTGGTAGGGAAGTAGACATATGTAGCGGATTGATTAGTTTACTGGTAATCTTGAAGTGAAGCGAAGAACTGTGTATAGAAGGTTGCCCAGGTTACTATCAGCTCTACTCATACAGGGGCCCTAGTGCCACAGTCATAGCACAGAACATAACATACCCAGAGGCAGCTCAACACTCTCACCAGCCTTTTTAAAGACTCACCTGACTTCACCCTGCAGCTCACCTATCCCTGGCCTTACTGGTGAGTCATGGTGGGGAATGATTTCTTCCTGTGTGCGTATTGTATCCTGCCATTTCCGTCTTATTCATTAGAGATGTGGAGGTGTCCCTCCCCACCCTAGCTGAGGCCTGCTATGCTAGGATCTGCTTGCTCAGTCCACCCAAAGCGCACAGGTTGTAGGAACCTAGTAAACAAAATGGAGGGTCAAGCAATGGCCAACTGTGAGTCTGGCCATAGTGAAAAGATATGCTGCAAAGAAGTCTTAGAGACCGTTGATAAGAGAAGGGAAACAGATAGTATCAAAATTCAGATGAATCCAGTACAGATTCAAGAAGATATTAATAAGGAATAGGTTATATGAAAGAAACCAGCTTGTTGGCAACATCCTGAATACAACAGAAAAGTACTTTAAAAATAAAGTTAAATAAACAGATTTTTTTTCCTTAAACCTTAGAGGGAAATAAACTCTGATTCTGCCAAGCAGTGAAGACAGAAAAAAAATGACTATTCTGCTGCTCATATATCAGCTTAAACAATTTTGATGGACATTTGGGTATCTTAAAATTTAGAAGAAACTTTCTTTGTCAATAATATTGACTAAGCAGTCAACAGAGGGCTAGGGTTCTAAAAATGGAGCTAACTTTTTGGATTATAAAAAAAGAAGAAAATAGTTACATAAACATTATTGCCTTTATATACCTATTTTAAATTGCTGTATACTCTTGAAGATAATGTATTGAATGTAATATATATTTATAGGTAGAAAAAAACCTTTGATTTCCTTAAAAGCAGTTCTATTTAATAAATGGCTTAATGGAAGTCATCTAAATTTTGGATTTTTGTATTCCATCAGCTTCAATATTATGTGTCATATAGCTTCTGGAAAACCCCACTGTACAATTGTGAGAAATAGAGAGTAAAAAAGGCTAATGGTAGTATACAGCAAGCCATTGGGTTCAAACATGAACAGTTAGACTCCAGAATCTAGCCACTATGTAACCTGATTTGTTGAAACATCAGAGAGTTAAGTACCAGAGAATTTAGAAAAGTAAGAGGAGAATTTGGAAAACTAACAATGGAAAAATAGAGTGACATGGCTGGGCAGAGGGGATATAGACATAAAAATAATACAGAATAATTGCCCTACCCTAGATAATTGGAGGTTAGCAGCCTGATACAATGAAACCATAGGAAACTGCAGGAGTTAAAAAGGTTATGAGAGAGGTGACCAGTAATCCCTGCGTGATATATTGCTACCACTGCACTGTGTTGACTGTGCAAGCAAATCCTAGCATAGCAGACCTCAGCTAGAGAGAGGAAGGACACCTTAGCATCACCAATCAGTAAGAAAGAAAGGGCAGAATACAATGAGACACAGGAAGTCAACTCCTGTTGTGACTCACCAGTGAGGCAGGGGACAGGCGAGCTGCAGGGTGAAATCAGATGAGTTTCTATAAAAAGGATGCTGAGAAAACTGGGTGCCTCTGAGTGTTTTCTTCAGGTTATTGAATAAGGAGTTCTGGTAGCT